GGCAGGCCGTGCTGGTGGGTCAGGTGACTCAGGAGGGCGGGCTGTATTTCACACGCGTGTACCTGCGCGTTTAGTGGTGTCTCTGGTGGTCTGTCCTTGGCACTGACTCTCCCTTGCCTCTTTCCTGAAGCAGAAGCTAAGTCCACTGCCCACCTGGCCAAGGCGGGACGCTGCCTGCAGGAGGGGGTCAAATTCTCTCGGAACATCTCGAGAGCCACAGAGCCGTCAGGGACCCTCACCAGAGCCAGCACGCAGGCATCCCCACCATCCGGCGACGCCCCTGCTGCTCAGGGCTCTTCCCTGGGGCTGCTGTCTCCAAGCCAACGCCCCCCCCACCTCAGCTTGCTCCAGACCCCGCCCAAACACACCTGCCCCTGCGCTCCACCTGGACAGGCACCCCTCCTTGAGCCTCCAGCGGGGTCTTCTCTCCGCCTCTGATCGGGTGGCTATTCTGCTCAGCGAACCGCCCTGAAACCTGCCATTTCCCACCCATCACCGTGTGCTCTCCGCCTGTGTCTGTGGGTCTGGCATTTGGGGACAGCTAGTCTGCTCTGTCTGGGGGGATCTCCCACGGTCAGCCAGAAGGCAGCTCCACCCTGTTCCTCCCACGAGGCTTGCCTGGCTGTCCTCACAGCCTCAGGGCGCCTTACCCACAGGACGCGGGGCCAGCAGGGCTGTGTGGGCATCATGGTGCCAGCTCAGGGCCAGCGACCCTAGGGGCTCTCCCGCCCGGGCCCCCCCTGTGCTGGCCTGTGACCCCGTGTGACCACCGCCTCTGGGCTCAGGGAGGAGCAGCCAGAGCCCCCTGCCCGGAGAGCATAAAGGCGAGGGGTCTGCACTGGGAGGAGTCTCCGGTCTGGTGGGCCCTGGTGGCCACTCCCCCCGCCGCCTGCACCAGCCAACCCAGCGGCTTCTTTGGAAGTTGGGAGAGTCTTTTGTATTCCAAAGGTCAAAGGGCCGAGCTTGCCTTTAATTAAAATGCACATCCTTTAATTAAAGGCCCCGTAACATGTGAAGGGCATCCACTGAAATACGACGTGTGACACAGTCATTTTCTTGCTGTTAATTACTAATTAATGAAGCTATTTCAATTAATAGCTTCCCCACCTCGCTCCCCCTTTGACAGGCCCCCTGCTGGGGCGCGTCCCCATCAGGCAAGACTCCGAGCCTCCTCGCTGAATATTCATGCCACAGCTTCAGCGCTGTTCAATTAAGCACAATAAAGTAAATCCGCATCAGAAGTGCACTCCAACGCGCAGCCCGCCCCTCCTTCTGTGGGAGCCAGTGGCAGGGAAGGTGGCTCCACTGTAGATGTGACAGGAAGTGGCCCATGGCCCCGGGAGGTGCCTCAACCACCCAGCATGGCCCCTGCAAGGCCCCTGGGGACAGATGAGTGGCAGTCCCCGAGGGGGCCAGCGGGGACCCCCAGGCCATTGCCGGCCTACAGCTGAAGGACAAAGCCAGAAATGGGGGGCAGGCAGCCCAGAGAGGTGGCGGGGCCATTAGCATACTAATATGAGTATTAAGTGGGCTGTTTTAAAGAAATGACAGAAAAGTGTCACTTACGGTGACCAGCAGGGGACAACCCCACATGTGAGCCAGAGATGGGGAGAGGGCATCCAAGGAGGCTGCCACAGGACAGCCCTGCCCCTGTGCCCTTGGGAGGGAATGCAGGGAGGAACACTGCAGCCTCGAACCAAGACGTCCTGGCCGCAGGCCCCTGGGCTTCTCCTTGGAGGGCGACACAGGAAGCCCCACGTGTGTGGGCCCAGCGGCCAGTGGGAGGGACCTGCAGTGTGATCCAGACTGGGGAAGGGATGGGTGGGAGGGGCTCCTTGCCCTTGAAAGTTGCCCCAATACACAAGACCCCCAGACCCGGCCACTCCCCAGGTCCCACTCCCACCCTCCACGGTGTCCAGCCTCGTGCCCTCCCTCCCCACCATCGCCCGCGCCCTCCTTGCCTGGAATGTCCTTCCAACCTCTCCCCTTCTGTGGAGCTGAGGGTCAGGAACCCGGCGGACATGAGCCCTGGTGGCCGAACCCCGTAGCTCCCCGTGTGGCGTCCCAGGGAGGATCTGGGACAGCTGCTGGGGGCTGGGGGGACAAAGCCCTGTCGGATGGCGCCCTCTGTCGGCCAGCTGCAGGGAGACAGCGCTCTCGCCCTCCTGAGGCACCTCCTGGTTGTGGGCAATGCAGACACGTGCACAGACACGCCGTACACAAATACACACACGCCGTACACAAACGTACACACAAGTGGCCAGAGCCCCTCCTCCTGGGGGTGAAGGAACAGCAGGTTTGGTGTCTGGTGGTGGTGACCCTCCAGACCCCTGCCCTCCCCCCCCCCGCCGCTGCTTCATGGACGCAGCTGCTTGGGCTCAGGGTAGGCGCTGGCCCTGGGATTGTGCCAGGGATGCCCAGGGGTGGGGACGTATTTGAGCCTGGCTGCACCAGATAAAAACATGGGCCAGGGCTGCCCTCCCCGCCTCTCCCTGCTGACAGCACCCTCCCCACCAGGGAACACTTCTGCCAGGAGTCTGGGGAGCCACTCCCAACATTGGCCCTGGGAAGGGTTAGGGGGTTATACCCAGCTCCTGGTGACACTGAGGATCAGGACCAGCAGTGATGGGAGAAGGCTGGGCCCAGCCGCCCCACAGCAGGCCCAGTGCCCCCAAATCCCAGCTCCTCCCTCTGTGGCTCTGTGAGGCGGAGGCAAAAGTGTGACCAGACTCCATGTCCCGGAGGCCTGGGATCCCAGTGTACACACATGCCCTAGCCTCCCCTTCTGAGCAGGGCCCACCAGCACCTCCGGGGTCCTACACCCCTTCCGGGCTCAAGGCACCGAGACCCCAGATGACTGGGTTCCCGTGGGAGAGCGCTCTCTTCTCTGACTCTCACCAAGAGTTCACAGTTTGCTGTGGGTTAAAGAGACAGGTGTTACTCTCACACTCAGGCCCACAGCAGCAAATTCACAGCAGCCCAGGAGTCCTGGGCGAATGGACAAAGGAGGAGTGGTCCACCCTTTAACAGAGCGTCATGCACACGGCTGCGTGGATGAGCCTTGAGGACACTTTGCTTAGCGAATCGAACCAGTCACAAAAGGACCAACACTTCCACGAAGTTCCCCACGGAGTCATTGTCATAGAGACCGAAAAAAGTAGATGGTGGCTGTCTGGGGCTGGGGGTGGGAAACAGGAGTGAGTGTTTAGCCGGGACAGTCTCAGTTTGGGAAGATGAGTCACGGAGATGATGGTGGGGACGGCCGCCCCCACCCCACGTGGGGGGTTTCCTGGCTGGGTTCCCAGCCCAGGACCCAGGACAGCGCAGAAGTCCCCCATCCCCTCACCCCAGGCTTCCCATGAAAACACATCGGCCTTTATGATAAATTAACATTCTTGCCGCACCTCTGTAAACAACCAGGCCAAACCCACGGGGGACAGACTCACTCTGTAATCAAGAAACCTTCTTCAGATTCTTTGTGATCCAAAGTGGGGGGACTGGAGGGGGAAATCTGGGCTTACGTGGAAAATTACGAGCTGGCTGACCCTGGAAGCTGCACAGCCCTGCACACAGCTGACAGCAACGCCGAGCCACTCTGACCCGCGACACGCAGCCAGGGTCCGTCCCAAGCAGCAGCGAGACCCTGCAGCTTCGCTGCGGCTGCGCACTCAGGGAACCAGCCCCCGGAGTCCGCTCTTGGGATTTCCTTTTGACCTGTTTGTAACGCTTTGCTGGTTTCCTCGAATGAGTGAAATAAATCTTTAACGTGCATTTATTCTTTTTATAAAAAGAGTGTTAAATAGTATCATCGTCGTCTCTTTAAATACTTTAATAGTCAGCATTTAAATGAGGCTCTGGTGTAATTTTCCACATTCCCATAGTTTCTTTTGTCTACGTAAACATCTGGCAAAATCTATTATTAATTCACGAGACGACAGCTTCTCTACCGTGAACAGGAAGGGTGAGAGACAGTGCGGAAAGGTGGCTCTGCCCGGGCTCCGGGGTGCGTCCTGGCCCGGAGGGGTGCCCACCCTCCCCTCAGGGCCGGAGGCACCAGGGAAGCAGAATGAATGGCCAGGGCCCAGGGATTCACGGGAGGGGGTCACCGGGGGTGGGGTCGCCAAGGATGGGCAAAGGCTCAAGACCTCACAACCCGTTGAACTGGGGGCCTCAGCCTGACCGTTTGGAGAAGCAGAAATGCCTCCCCACCCTCCATGGCCTTCCTCGGGAGCTGTGGTTCCCACCGGGGGCCGGTCCCTGGGGACACTTGGTGACGTCAGGAGACACTGTTGGCTGTCATGACTGGAGGCTCGTCTAGTGGGTGGGAGCCGGGGGTGCTGCTAAACACCCCGCAGTCCCACCAACCCTGAGAGGGGGGTGCAGTCCCCCACGGGCAAGGAACCAGGCCCCACCCGGGCGGCCCAGGGCCAGCGACGGCCCCACCCTCCCGCCTGACCGAGGCTCACTCCGAGGCTCACTCCGAGGCTCATACACCAGGAGCAAGAGGCTCTTAAACTGGCTCTGCTCCCCAAGGCTGGTGGCGCCGGGTCCTCAGGGGACGATGGGCCAGGGCAGCTAGAGGTCCTCATGGATGGGGCTCAGGTCCACCCGCTGGGCCTTCCCGAACACCAGGAAGGTGCACAGCCCCAGGCTGCTGATGGCGGCCACCAGGTTGAACACAGACGTCCAGGAGCCCGTGGTCTCGATGAGGTAGCCGCCCAGGCACACGCCCACGACACCTGTGTCCGAGAGATGGGACAGGCAGGCTGGGTCACAGGCAGCTCCCCCACCAGAACCCCGAGGACAGTGCAGGAGAGGAGCTGGGGCTGGGGACCTGCAGGAAGGCCGGCAGGTCCTGAGGGAGTGAAACCCCTCATTTCCATGGGAGCCCTCGACCTATGGGGACCCCGGACCTCAGGGCTCTCAGTCACGTCTGTGGATCAGGCTGGTGGGGGTGGTCATTACGTGACATCAGGAGAGAGACCCTGGGGAAGGCTGCTCTGCTCTCTCTGGGGGCCAGCTCTGCGGCCTAGGCCACCCAACCCCACCGCACTAGTCTGACAGTGAGACCCCCCCAAAGGGCGCCACGCCCCATCCTGCAAGGCTGAAGCAGCCGGAGCGGGTGGGAGGACATGAAGTGGGGCAGCCAGGCGGCCCCCCAGGGAACTCTGGGCTTGAAACCTGCAGGCAGGGAGCCCTGGCCCACCTCTCACCTGCTAAGGCCCCAGCTGTGTTGGCCACACCTGTGAACAGGACAGAGAGAGAGCAAGGACAGGTCAGAGGAGGCCAGCTGTGACCCTCCCACGGCCACCTGCCTGGGAGCCCAGGAGGGGTGAAGGGGTGAGCACGGCCCGGGGTGGGGGCAGCCACTTCCTATTCAAACAGGGGCCTTGGGCCTCACCAAACAGAAAGCCGGCACAGGATGGGGCCAGATCCTGGATGTTGACGGAAATGCCACTGTGGGAAAGAGGAAAGGAGGCAGGCGAGTGGCCACAGGGCGGCCGCCACCCACTGAGCCCGCGGTCAGTCCTCTGAGCACCTGGATCCCGGAGACCAGCCGCCTGCCAGGCCGGGAGCTCGGCCCCCGCCCAGTGGTGCCACGGCACAGGAGCCCACTCCCGGGACGCAGCAAACAACGGGAAGGCAAGTTTGCTCCAACACACACGTGTCTGCTGTCCACTAACTGGAAAACAACGTCAAGTCGCCGATTCCCAAAACAACGTCAGCGCAGTGCTGGTTAAACACTGAGCTGCTGCGCAGTCAGGAGGACGGCAGACCAGACGGAGGACGAGGACGAGGACGAGGACGGGCCCACGTCTGGTCAGAAGATGCTGCCTGGACTGCAGGCCAGCACCTCCCCTCCTGGCCCCTCCTGAGGCACCGGCTTTGTTTTTCCAAATGGCCCAGGTCCACGCCAGCCTGAAACCCCGACAACCTCACTTTTGGGGACCTGCCGCGTGCCCACCATCCACATGTGTCCTGAGCCAGGTGGCTTTTCCAGTGTGCCCAGGACCTGGAGCCCAAAGGCAGTGTGGGCAGCTCTAGCGGATGGGACACCCAGCCCTCACCTGTGGTTGAAGGTCTGGAGGCCGATGGAGGCCGATGCAAAGACCACAGACATACAAAAGCTCGAGGTGTGACCCAAACACAGGACGAAAACACCGGACAGGCCGAGGCCCATCACCTGCAGGAGAGACGAGTGGGGACGGGGCCCCATCCCCCTTCCCCCTTCCCCCTTCCCTGGCGGCCTGGGCACGGGTCAGTGGGAAACCCCTCATGGGCCTGGGCCTGCCCAGAGGACACGTGGGACGAGGCTGCGCTACTAAGCTGGCCCTGCTGGCAGGAGCCAAAGGGAGGAGGCCCCATTCAACGTGAGCAGTCCCAGGCCCAGAAGACCGGGGCTCAGACAAGGGCCTCAAGTCAGCCAAACCAGGCCCCAGCACTGACCCAGGGTGCCCTCCGGCCGCCGTGGTGCACCAGCCACTGCTAGGTCAGGTGATGGGGGGACACGACCCTCGGGTCCCGGGAACAGAGCAAGGGCATCCAGAGAGTGCCATCCAGGACCCTCCTACCTGCATGAACTTCCGCACGGTAATGGTCCTGTAACCTGAACAGAAGGGAAGCCAGGAGACGTCCCGTTGGCCCATTTGTTCCCCCACCGACGCCCCGGGAGTGGGTCCCTTAGGCACAGCTCGGGGGAGGGGGCGGGGAGAGGAGGGACAGGCCCAGCTAGAGGTGGGGCTCCCTGTGTCGTGGTGAAGTGTGAGCACACGTGTGAGTGCTTGTGACGGCGTCTGCCCTGCAGGACGTGTGTACTCGAAGGGTCCCCAGGGCCGAGGCCGCTCGACGGTGACAAAGTGCTTTCTTTGCGTTTCTGCAAATTTTCTAATTTTTCCACAGTGTGTGGGGTGGCCCTTTTGTAATTAGGACAAGACATTTAAGAAGGACCGCACATGTAATGCAGGGTCGTGGGGAGTGTGCGTGTGTGCGAGACGGTCATCCTCGGGGAATGTGCCCTCAGGTCCCAGGCCAGCACCTGACGTGCACAGCCCACCCAGGCCTGCAACTTCTAACCTCCCCAGGTGTCCTTTCCTCCTCTGAAGGGGGTGGTGCTGCATCTAGGCCCCAGGTCGGGGAGCTGCATGGTCACAGCACGACTGTGTCCTAATGCTGGGGGTCCCACTCACAGCCTGGTCCTCCGGGGGCGTGGCCTCTTCCCGTCACTACAGCTGCAGCCCAGGAGGGGTGCCTCCCTACCCCCCAGGGGAGGCAAAGCCCAGGCATGTCCCCCCACCCAGCCCCGCCCCCAGAGCTCACCCTGACTGATGAGACGGTCAGAGAGAAGCCCGCTGAGCAGACCAGCAGGAATGGCCACCAGCCAGGGCACCACGTTGAAGACCCAGCCCTGCAGGAAGGAGGGTGGAGAGCCATGAGGCGGCCACCCAGGACAGGATGAGCAGCCATGCCCACCGCAGCCCAGAGGGGCGCTCAGCCCACAGGCTGGGCCCCTCCAGACCCTAACTCATCCCTCTGGCAGAGCTCTGGGCCCACTAGTGCAGTATCTCCCGTGGGCAGAACCTCCCTCAGGGCTCCCCACATCCCGCCAGGCCGACCTGGGGGGACGCACCCCGTCCCCTGGTCACAGAACCCGGCAGGTGGCCAAGGTGGGGTGGAGTCAGCCTAGCTGACCTGGCAGGTGACGTCCACGTCCACATCACGGCCCCCGTGTGGCCCTCGCCGGGAAGGGCCGTCCCGGCTGGGCTGGGCGGACGGGGCAGCAGCTGCGCCCCTCCAGTGCGCACCCAGGCGCCGGCATCGAGCCGCGTGGGGTCAGGGCGGCCAGAGTCCCAGTCCGAGGAGCCCAGGGCCCCTGTGCACGCCTGGCACGTGCTTTGTGGCGCCCCCACCCTGTGAGCCGCCAGCCGCCGGGTGGCCAACCCACCTTGGAGTTGGGGAAGGTCTCCTTAAAGAAGGTCGGCAGCCAGGAGAGGAGGATGAAGAAGGAACAAGCCGCCGAGAGCTGGGAGATGATGGCTGCCCTGGGGGGCGGGCGCCAGGCTCAGGGTCCTCGCCTCCACCCAAGCCCCGTCCCACACCAGGGCGGCCAGGGGCCTGAGGGCGCCTTGCGCGGCCGCTCGCCCTGTGGTCAGTGTCCCCAGGGCCCCAAACCCCATCCATCCCGGCACACCTACTGTGACTGCGACTCATGGCAGCCAGGCTCACCAGACGGAAGACTTCCAGAAGAGCCGTCTCCAGGGCACTTTGGTGTGCCTAGTCACCCGCAGGCCCTGTGCCAGGACGCCCAAGGCCAGGAGGAGATCTGAAGGGAGCAAGGCATTTCCCCGTGAGCGCCATTCGAGTCAGGCCAACGGCTCTGCTCCCAGAGGCCAGCGCTGGGGCAGCTCGTGGGCACCCTGGCTCCGCGTGGGGCCACCCCTTCCTCTCCGTCAGTGCCCGGGGTCGGCAGCGTTTGCCCTTGGGGGCCAACACCAGTGTCTAGTTTGAACAAACTTTCTGTTTGTTCATCTATCCTGCCCACACCCCTTGTCCTCAACCCCCCAGGCTCCTGCCACTAGAAGCCACCACTGGTCCTGCCAACTGCCTCTGCCAGCCGGGCAGCTCCCAGCACACCCCCTCTCATTCAACACGGCTGTCGGGCTGGTCGTGGCCACAACTGGGCCGAGAGCTCCGGGAGCGGCACCTTCTGTGAGGCTGTCTGGGGGACCCTTCTCTAAAGAGGGAGGCCGCAGCCCCGGGGTCCCGCTGAGCTGGCCTGCTCTGCGGGCGGTCAGTGGCCCCTCGCCGGAGGGGACGAGGCGCCGGGCCCTGGCCCTTCCCAGCAGCTGCGCGTACCTTTCTCACTCAACAGGCACCTGTACACGTACCACACCCACAGCAGGGTGAGCCCGCCGGAGAAATAGAAGACGCTCTGCCAGCCGCACCAGTCCAGGAGCAGGGAGCCCGCGGCCCCCGTCAGCAGCGTCCTGTTCCAACAGAGGGGCTTTGCTGGGAGGAGACCCACCCGGTGTGAGCCGATTCCCCATAAAAAGGGTGCTTTCGTCGCCCGTAAGGCAAGGGCTCGGGAGCCCCAGTCTCCTCGCAGGCTGCTAGGGACGCAGGCTTCCACGAGACCCCCGGGGCCGCGGGGCTGCGGCGAGGCACAGCGGCCCAGGTGGCCAGGCCTCCACGCTGGCCGACAGCTGTGGTGCGGAGCCTCTCCGAGTGGAAACGGCAGCGGAAAGAAAACGGCGCCCAGAGCACGCTGGCGTAAACCTTCGGGCGGCTCAGCGTCACCGTTGGAGGGGGGACCGTTCAGGAAGGTCTCTCAGTGCAAACGGCCAGGAAACCCAGCCCCCACCGGCCCCCGGCCCTGCTGGCCCCACTGTCCCAGGCACGCCCCGGGGCCCTCCCTCCCGGCCCACCGGTTGGCCTGTCTGTTCAGGGGTCCGCCTGCGGCCCCCCATCTGCTGACATCTGGCCAGGAGACAGTGAAAGGAGGAGAAAAGGAGGAAGCCCCCCCACCAAGGCCAGGGGGCCTGTGAAAGGCCACTTGCCCCTCCCAGCCTCCATTTCCCAGTCTGGGAGGCGGGCACAGTCGCTCGCTCGCTGGGCCTTCTGCCCCGTGGGCCCAGGACGCCTGGGCAAACAGGATTTCAGAAGAACAGACACCCTTTCTCAGTGCAAGTGTGCCCCAAACTGCTTATCCGAGGTTCACGTTTCACTGAGAACCTGGGGGTTTCTATTCGGGCTGCTCCCGGCCCACCCACAGGCACCCCTCGGCCCTCCGAATTCCTGCCTAGACCCGGGCAGCAGCGAAGTGAGGGGGAGTCGTGAAGCCCCACAGGTCTCCCCAGGGAGGACCTAGAGCTCTGAGGGTGACGCAGGGAGAAGGGGCACAGCTTTCACATCTGAACGGTGGCAGGTCCCCTCGAGTCGGAATACAGGCCATCTGCCCACCGTCGGGTGGACACCCTGTTCTGTCAGCACAGATGGACGCTCGAGAGCTTGATGCCCAGTCCATGTGCCCGAGCCCCAAAGCCTGTGCCACCTGCCGCTGGCCCTGGGGGGTGGAGCGTGCACAGGGAGAAGCACTTTGCACAGGGACGGGGGGGGTGGCGAGTGCCTCCTGGGGCACAGAGCCCACGGTGCATACCTGGATGTGTGTCGCCTGTCCCCGCCCAGACTCCTCAGGGCCGCTGTGCCAGGTGCACGCCCTTTGCCTTCCCCCGACTGCCCCCAGGCTGGGACTCACCCGAACTGGGAGCCGGCCCCCACGGTGCTGTAGGTGAAGGCCCGCTCGCTCTCCCGCACCTTCTGCGACAGCAGGCTGGTCAGCGCAGGGAAGTAGACCCCTGGAGTGGCAGAGAAGGCAGAGGCCCCGTGGAGCTGCGACCCAAGCCGGCACGTGGGCCCAGCCAGGGGGCCAGCGGGAGGTGACAGCCAGGCCCTGAAGCTCTGCTGGGCCATTGGTGGTTATTCAAGTCCGCATGTCCTTCCTGCTTGACTCACCCCAGGGACCAGGGGACCAGCAGGGCTGGGCTTTTCCTAGACACTCAGCTTGGCGGGGGCGTCCTTCCACCAGGACAGCTCCTGGGTCCACGTTGGTGCTCCTACCGCCATTACGTGGGCTCCCAGAGCGCACAGCTCCAGGGTCCTGGCAGGTGCAGGCTCGAGCGCATGCCTGCGACCTGCATACACGCACACGCACGCCTGCGACCTGCATACATGCACACGCACTGACTCAGACTCACACACGGGTCACAGTAGCACACACGCACTGACCCACACAGGGCATGTGCATCAGGTGAGACCTGAATGGCCCCGCGGAGCCACAGTACCAGGTCCTGAATCTGACATCGTCCTGCAGCTACACGAGGTGCCCCCGCGGAGAGGGGGGAGGGCGCGAAGGACTTCCCTGCACCTTTCACTGCAGCGTTCTCCGAATCTATAATTATTTCAAAATCTAGCGTTAAAAAAATCTGCACTGGGGACTGCAGCTTCTGTCGGTTTCATCGCGCTTTTCTCCAAAAGCACTCGGGAAGCTCAGAGGCCAGGGCTCCGGGGCAGGTCTTGGTCCCTGCCCTCCCACTGGGGCCCCAGCTGGGTTCCTGCCCACCCCGAGTGCCAGCCACCCAGGGCGAAAGCTGCCCCTTGAGCCCCAGGCTGTCTGCAATAATGGGCACAGGTCAGCCACAGAGAGAAGTCCTTTCGCCTCCCAGCAGGGGGAGGGCCAACCTGCTGGGGGCCCAGTGACCAGCTCCCCGCTCAGAAATGCCTGGGCCTCGCACAGCTCCGTCCTGGGAGCTTCAGCTGCAGGACAGAGCGCACCAGCCACGGCCACGTGGGAGCTCAGGAGCAGGACTGCCTGGACCACCAGGACCGGCTGCGGGTGGGGCGGGCCAGGAAACAGGCAGGGGTCAGTTGCAGGGTGTCTGGGGTCCCGGGGACTTGGGCTGGAGGCAGGCCCATGTCCTGCACTGGGCTCTGGGAAGGGGGAGAGGGAGAGGCAGGGAGGAAGGGCTCACACCCAGGTCTGGAGGCTGCTGGGTGCCACACTGGAGCAGGGCAGGAGCTCAGGCCATTCCACTCCCTGGAGGGCGGGCCACGCACCCCAGCCACCGGGGACCTTTGGGGGGCTCTCTCCGGAAGTCTAATATCCCCACGCACGGGAGCCAGAGGTCTTGGGAACTTGGCATCCCCTCAGCCTCCTGGCCCGGCCAGCGGCAGGTGTGGCCCTGACTGGCAGCGCACAGAAATTTGGCAGGTCCCCACCATGTGGCCAGTGGAGCCAACGGTTACCACGAGGCAACCTGGCCGCCACCCGGGTGCCTGGAGCAGACTTTCTGGCAGAGAAGGACACGTGACGTTAGACACAGCCAGACTCTGAAGGGAAAATCGGGAAGAGCCTCAGGTGCCGAGGCATCGGCACACCACCAGGCCAGCGGGCAGCCCGCCGGCGGGGACCGTCCTCCCACGCAGCCGGGCCACGCAGCCGGGGGCAGCTGCCCAGCCAGCCGGAGGCACCCTCGCTCTGGTCTGAGGCAGGGTCTGGGGCACAGCACACGCAGGAGCACACGGGAGGACGTGTGCACGCACACGAGCAGCCACCTGAACAGGCACCGTGCACACTTGCACACGCGTGCGCACACCCCTTGCTCCGCACGCCTGGGCCGGAGGGGGAGTGCTGGCGGCGTGAGGGCAGCTGCCGCGGCCCTCCCTACCTTGCAGCAGGCCCGTGAGGATGCGCGAGAAGGTCATGAAGGCCAGGTGGGCGCTGCCCAGGTGGGCAAGCAGCGGGGTGGCGGCGGTGATGAAGCCCCAGGCGGAGGCCGACAGCAAGATGACCTTCTCACCCCCGATCCTGCAGGAAACAGGAGGTCAGCCATGGGGGCCAGGAGGCCAGGAGGCCCTGCCAGGGAGGAGCGGGAGGGGGCCTGCACCACCCCTCGCCTGGGGCAGCCCTCTGGGTTGAGCCTCCGCCACTTCCCTTCTGCAGAGGCGGCCGAGGATGAGCGAGCAGGGTCCAGCCGGGTCCGTCTGCCTCACTGGGAGCCGGTGCTCCCCAGGGCGTCAAGCACCCTAAGACAGCTGCGTGCGGCCCTGGCCCAGCCCCCGTGTGGACCTCGGGTCTCTGCTCTCGGCTTCCTGTGTATGGGGCCTCTCCTCACATTCATCTCCGAGGAGCCACCTCCCCACCGTACATGCAACTCCGAGGAGCCACCTCCTCGCTGTAGCAGCACAGCCCCCTCCCCCAAGAGCAGCCCCAGCCCAGCACAGGGAGCAGGGGAGGGGGTTACCGGTCCCCCAGGTGGCCGCCCACCACCTGGGTCAGGCAGTAGCCCCAAAAGAAGCTGCTGAGCACGAGGCCAGCCTCCTTCTTGTTCCAGCCGAAGTCCTGGCTCATGGAGACGGCGCAGATGGGCATGCTGACGCGGGCGCAGTACAGCAGGCACGTGCCCAGCAGCAGGGTCCCCGTCCACAGCTGGCACTCGGGCCTGCAGGAGAGAAGGGGCTCCGTCAGGCCTGGGAGGGGCGGAGACCTTCTCCACCAGCGTCGGAAGGAAGCAGCTTGGACACCTCTCAGACCGTGCCTCTTGACTCCCAGGAGAACGCGGCAGGCCCTAGGAACGACACCCGCTGTCCCTCAGACAGCGGAGGTGGGAACACGGATGGGGCGAAGGCGGTCGGGGCGCTGCTCCCCAGGACCCAGGGCCTAGAAGGCAGCCAGGCAGAAGCTGGCAGCTAGTCACCCATCCGGGGGGCGGAGGGCCAGGCAGGAGGACCCCTGCTGAGGCAGATGGCGGGGAGGGGGTCCCGCGGCAGCGGTGGGGGCAGCACCCTGGGCCCCTGCCCCTGAGGCAGGCTGTGCTGAGCGGCGGGCAACCCAACACCATGTCTGGGGGGCAGTCGGCCAGACAAACGTCCACATGGGGACAGTGCACAGAATTCCTGGCCAGCAACGCTCTGCAGTCAGTCCCTAAACCAAGGAGAGCCAGGAACCGCCAGAAACGGGAGGAGTCCGGGCGCCGTCCGACTCCGTGCCTGTGGGGTTCTGGCTGGGGTCCCGGCACCAGGTGAAACTGCCGAGATCGGAGCAAAGCCCCGCTCTGGTCAGCCGTGCCTCACGGGCCGGGTCCCGCTCGGCGACAGGGGCCCTAGCCTGCGGCGGGAACGGGGAGCCCGGTGTGGCGCGGATGGAACTGTGTGAAGCTGAGCTGCTCTGAAAGAAAGTTCTGGAGGGTGTGTGTGTGTGTGTGTGTGTGTTCTCTTTCCTTTTCTTTCAGTGGAGGTGCTGGGCCTTGAAGCCAGGGCCTCGCGCGTGCTCAGCATGTGCACTCCCACCGAGCTGTGCCCTCTACCCAGATGTATTCGGCTTTGTTTTAATGAGAGAGGAGCCTCACTGCCTTTTTGGGGGCGGGGGGGATGAGGTGGGCACCAGTGGGGGATGGCCTGGGGGTGGGGCACACTGGTGTCTTGCCAGGTCTTTGTGCAGGGCGGGGACATCCCCTGGGGGGGCCACGACCGGAGGGCAGTGGGCCAGGAGAGTGGAGAGCCCTTGAAGCAGCCTCAGCGGGGGTCTCGGGAGTCCCGCAGGCACCTGGGCTCACCTGCCTGGCTGGGGCGGGGGTTCTCCCCGAGCAGGTGGGGGGTGAAATGCACAAAGGGAGGAAGCTCAGGCTGCGGGGTCAGGGGCTCTGAGCCTGGGGGCCCTGACGCCTAGCCGAAGGGGGCAGAGGTGTTAGGGCCACAGAGCCTCCGGGAGGTCACCAGGCAGGTGTCTAGGAGGTGCGGCCGGCTGGAGCCTCGTGGGCAGTTCTCAGAACAGAGCAGGGAAGGGCATGTCTCACCCAGAGGACGAGCCAGGACACTGGAGTTTCACCCTTGCTCCCCAAACCCCCTTCGCACCCCTGCCTGGATGTGGTGGGGGACTCCCCTGGCTGTCAGAGAACAGTGAGTGGGGCCAAGGGCGGTGGAAGATTGGACACCATCTGCAGACTCAGGGGCGAATTTCCCACCGGCCAGACCCCTCCAGGCTCAGGCTGCGAGGCCGACTTGGCGGGGACAGTTCAGGGGGAGGCCAGGACCACCCCTGGCAGGGCTGGAGCCCTCGTCTGGATGCCTTCCAGGGGCGAGACCTTGGAAGTCCTGAGGGCAACTTCAAGCCTGAAGATTCTGCCAGCTGGGCCGGAGCCAGCAGGAGGCACGCTGGTCAGGAACCTGGTAAGTGGGTGCCACAACAAGTGTCCATTATCGCCAGGGCAAGACCAGGGTGCCAGCAGTGAGCCCGTCGCCCAGCACCCTCCTCCCGCAGCATGGACCACCGAGGCCTGGCGCTGGCTGGACGTGCTGGGGAAGGTGCTGCTGCCCTAGACCTCGTCATGGCCACTGTCACCCTGGGGCAGCTGCAGCCACAAGGCCAGCCATGCCGGGGGCACACGGGATGAGTCACCCGGCCTCCCCGAGCTTCAGTTTCCTCAGTGAAGAAAGGCTTGTGGCCCTGACACCTGCCTGCTTCATGATCAACAAACAGCAAGATGACCTGCTGGTGCCTGGTGCCCAACAGGGAGCCGTTGTGACTGGCCTGTGCTCTGGCCAGCACCTCCGCACGATCCGCTCCCCCCTTGCAAACCACAGAGTACTTTTCCACAGTCGGGGGAGCGAGGCGAGGAGGATATAGCTTGCCCCTTGTCTCAGGCTGCAGAGGTCCTCGCGGGGGTGTCCCGGGGCTGCACCCCCAAGGAGGTGCGGGGCCCAGCAATCCCACTGGCAGAGACAGCTGAGACCATCACTTGTGGGTTTGGGGGCGGATGAGAACAGATCTGTGTTGGCAGGCCGGTGCCTGGCTCGGAGTTCAGGAACGACAGTCCAGGCAACTTGATGAAGTGCGCGTCTCACGCATTGACCGACTCTTCCCAGGGAAGGGACTTGGGTGCTGGTGTGGGCCCTTGCATGACTCGGGGGAGCCCCGTCCCTTCCCTGGGCACCACTGCCCCTGTGAGCCGGTGAAGAGGCTGTACTGACCACAGACCTCGGGCTGCGTCTCTGGGTGTTCAGAGGGGTGCCGGGGTGGGGCTCCAGGGCACCCCTCTGTATTTGGTTTTTATACTGGAACTTCCGACGGGAAACAGGGTCCAGTGCTAGAAGCAGACCCTGAGTTCTGCAATTCCAGGAGCTGGCCACTCGAGCAAGCTTGGCTGAAGCTGGGGGAGGGCGCTCCACTTGGAAAATGCCCAGGGACCCCTCAGTGGCCAGCGGAGGGACCCGTCGTCATGCCTGCACCCTACTTCCTGCTTCTTAAAATGCTACTGGAATGACTCAGAAGCCAAGACGTTGGGACCAGCAGCCGGGCAGCAGACGGGACAGGTCTCAGTGGCCCCACCCCCACCCCGCCTGAGCGGCCAAGCGGAGGGAGTGGAGCCCCACGGCGCAGCTCACCGGTCCTCCTGGGGGCCTGGTGGCCCTGAATGCTAGTTTTCTTTTCAGAATCAGACTGTGAGGTGGGGGTGGGGAGGAGAGCCCCCGAGTGGCGCCTGCTCAGTGCCTGAGCCTGTGTTCGTGACATGGGACCCCTAGGCTGAGGCCGCTACGGGCTCGGGAACCTGGCCCCTGCAGAGTTCTGACCGTGGGGATGCCCCCAGCCCACCCTCCTGCCCCTGGATCCCCGGCCAAGAGCTGCAGGCCTCGCGGGGACACTCTTCCACTGAGCAGACCATCCCACTGGGCCTACTGAGGCGGCACAGTCCAAACTGCCCAGCAAAATCCGTCCAGCCGGCCACCTGGGCCCCTGGAGTGGGCTGGCAGAGGAGCGGTCACCACACGGGCCGGCCGGGGAGCCCTCTGCAGACACACGGGCACAGCTAGGTCTGTGCTGCCTGGGGCGCCAGGGGAGCAGCAGGGGCTGGGGTAACGCTGTCACACACCGCCACCCCGACACCCTGGTCTGACAGTGCCCTCAGGAGGGAGCTTTACATGCTCGACACATTTAGAGACAAAAGAGTGGTTCCCAGCAGGCGGGGAGCTGGGGGAGGAGGTCAAAAGGTAATTAGGGGATTACACAAAACCGTGTGCCTGCGGCTTCTGAAAGTTGCAAAGCTCTATAGCAGTAAAGATCTTTCACTCAATTAAACCAACCAATTAATCAATCAATAAAAGGCAGCTTTATTCCTCTATGGGCTCAAAGCCCGGAAGTGTCACCAGTGTGCGGGCCGGACCGTGCCCCAGCACACCTGCCCTCCCTTGGGTGCGCCTTGCCAGCGCCCCTGAGGGCCTGGCTCTGTTTGCTCTCTGGGTGGGGTGTCCACTGAGAAGTAGGGGGAGGCCAGCTGAGGCTGACCCGCTCTGGAAGGTTGGCTGGGTGCCAGACACAGCGTGGCCCCCCGGCCTCCATGGGGGCACGGGAGGTCAAGAAAGGCCCACGGCTTACAGGCAACCAGTCCGCTCTGAGCTGAAGGTACTGGCTAAGGGAGCTCCTTGGGATGCTGCGAGGGGCCAGGTGCTGGCTGCCTCCTCCCTGGGCCCTGGAGGCCCCCGCGGTGCTGTCCCTGAGTTGACGGGCAGTGCTAGCAGGCGGGCAAAGGGACGTCCTCCACAGCCACAGGGGACACAGAACAGGCAAGTGTGGCCGGAGGGGGCTGCCCAGGCCCCCAGCTGCTGGGAGGCTGATGGGGACGCAGACGCAGAGTCCCGGACCTGCAGGCGGCTGCTTAGGACACAGAGGTTCCGGCAGGACAGACACCAGGGGCCTGGAGGGTCTCACCCCGCCCACTTGGCCAGCCCTAAGCCTCTGCCCCCAGCTATTCTGGATGCTTCCTAAGAACCTTCTGGAAACTCCTGCTTCCTGAAAATGGCCCTTGTGCATGAGAAGCATCCACGGCTGGGCAAACTCGTGGTCACATGGCCCCTCGATTCAGAAAAGGGAACTGAGCCTGCACAGAGGGCGGACGGCAATAGCCAGAGAGAACGCGCAGGCCCACAGCTGCTGGAGGCCGAGCCTCCGGGGTCGTCCACATGGAGGCCGCGGGGTCGGTGGCCACACACGGCATCCCTCCTTATGGTCCTCACGACCACTGGCCACTCGGGGGCTGGACCACCTCTTCCCACGGAGCCCCACGCCACCCAGGGCCCTGCAGGCCCCCCCATGACCCGGCCGCCTCGCCCGCAGGTGCTCCTCTCGAAACTGGGTGTGGAAGGAAGTCCAGGGAAAGCCAGGTGGACCCACTGAAGCACAGCCTGAGAGGGAAGTTTGCAGAGCCTCCCAGAGGCCACAACCCTCCGCCCAGCAGGCTGCAAAGCCGGCCTGCCCACCTGGGCCTCGCCTTTAGAGCCGGCAGGGTGTGGAGCGAGGCAGAGCAGGCAGCCGCGGGCGCTCCCTGGTCCGGGCACACCTAGCGTGTGGGGATGCCGGCTGTGATGCTGGCTCTGGGGCTCTGGGGCTCTCCTCCTTGCCCACCCCGCCGGAGTTTCTGTGGTGCAGGGCAGCCTCTCTCCGCCCTCC